TCAGAAGCCACTGTTTTGATTAGTCTTCTTTATAGACAACCTAATGAGACTAAGACTTATTTCAAAGCATGTTTAAACACATTTTGCTTGAAATAAACCTATGAATATATGAACTATAATCCTGTAGTAATATATTTTGTTTGGCCTTAATATGTATGTATGTACACAAGCACATCTATCCATGAAACAGTAGTGAACTCAGTTGGTTTGCCTTGTTTTCTTGGATCTCTTAAGTTCTTTTTCTTTGTAAGGGTGTATGTAGTCTTAACATATTTCTGTCACTCATTTTAGTATGAAAAATTTAAATTTTCCTTCTCTGATATGATAGGTTTCCATCTGACACAAGTTCTGGCTTTATATATGTGTGTATACACACACACACACACACACACACACACACACACATATATATATATATATATGTTGTTAAGTGCCGTCGAGTCGGTTCTGACCCATAGCGACCCTGTACAGGGTTTCCGAGGCTGTAAATCTTTACAGGAGCAGAAAGCCTCATCTTTCTCCCACGGAGCAGCTGGTAGTTTCAAACTGCTGACCTTGAGGTTCGCAGCCCAATTCGTAACCACTACGGTACCAGAGATTTCTCTCTCTCTCTAGTTTTGAACTGCTGACCTTGCAGTTTGCAGCCTGATTCGTAACCACTATGCTACCAGAGCTCCATATATATATATATTCCTGAAAAAAAAAAAATATGTTTTCAGTTGTTATTAAATGCCATTGAGTCAGTTCCAACCAATAGTCACCCTGTACAGGGTTTCCGAGGAGCAGCTGATGAGTCTGCACTGCTGACCTTGCAGTTCAAACTGACTTTGCAGTCCAGTGCATTAACCAACAGTGCCACACAAGGACTATATATAGCACTATATAAAGTACTGGACCGCAAGGACAGTTTGAACCTCAAATTTGGCAGTTCTTACTCACTAGCTGCTCCTTGGAAACTCTATACAGGATTGCTATGAGTTGGAACTAACCCCAAGGCACTTAGCCAGAACAAAAACATGCATATGTATACATTTATATACACAGATACATATGATTTCACATAAATGTCTAGTTCTAATTTTTTTTTTTTTAAGATATGGTGTGAATAAATCATATAATTACTAGCAATTCCTGAATGAGTAAAATCTTGATCACAATTTTCAAAGGTGAATCTAAACTTATCCTCACTTTGGTTATTTTAAAATGCCCATCCACGTCCACAGCTGATGACGATGTTGAGCGTGCACGTCAAATTATTCTGTCAAATAGACAAGTGACAGTGAATTATGCGATAAATCATTTGCAAATCAGTCATGGCTCTGCCTATGAACTAATCCCCAGACTTGGGTTTTGAAAAGCTTATGCAAAATTGATAGCGAAACAACTTATGGAAGAACATAAACAGAAGCGATTGGACATCTGCAAACAAAATTTGAACCAATACTTGAAGGAAGGTAAAATTTTCTTAAAAAGTCATTACTAGTGATGAAACATGGATTCATCCCTAGGAGCCTGATGGTAGAGTATAGAACGGAAACCTCTTCAATTGTTGACCGAGAAAAAGTTCAAAAGTCAACCATCAACTGGAAAATTAATGCTTACAGTTTCCTGGGGTTCTGAAGGGCCAGTATTGGAAGACTATCAGGAAGAAGATTCAACAGTCAACAGTGCTCATTACAGTGAGATGCTCATTGAAGAGCTGAAGCCTAAATTTAGGATTAAACACAGAGGACTGCTATCCAAGGACATTGTGATTTTTGCATGACAATCTATGTACATACACCTCTGACCACACTGTTAACACTCTGGAAACACTTCATTTTTGGGTATTAAAGTGCCCTTCTATAGTCCCAATCCTGATCCACTGGACTTTCACCTGTTGGACCCTGAAAGTAGCCCATCAAGGATTAAGATTCACCTCTGATTAAGAAGTGAAAACAGCACTGGCTTCCAATGAGCACTCTGGCTGCACTTCTCTCAACACAGATCTGTTGGTTCTTTTGGCAGCCCAGACTACTTTCAATATTCTCCTTCAACACCATAACTCAAAAGCATCAATTCTTCTACAGTCTTCCTTATTTACTGTCCAGCTTTTGCATGCATATGAGGTTATTGAAAATATCATGGCTTGGGTCAAGGCGCACCTTACTTCTCAAGTTGACATCTTTGCTCTTCAACATTTTAAAAAGGTCTTGTGAAGCAGATTTGCCTAAAGCAATACGTCATTTGATTTCTTGAGTGCTGCTTTTGTGAGTGTTGATTGTTGAAGAAGAATGAAGCCCTTGACAACTTCAATCTTTTCTCCGTTGATAAGAATGTTGTTTATTGGTCCAGTGGTGAGGATTTTTGTTTTCTTTACATTGAGATGCAATCCATACCAAAGGCTGTGCTCTTTGATCTTCATCAGTAAATATTTTAATATTTGCTCTTTAATATTGTTAACTCTAAATATCTGATGTATTTAATACTGTCTACTATATTGGTAAATGGTAGCATTATATAGTCATTAAAAAGCATTGCCCATAGAGGTACATTTTGTTGATTTTAGGTGCCAGTGAATCAGTTCCAACTCATAGTGACCCTATGCACAACAGAAAGAAACAATGTCCTGACATGTGCCATCCTCATAATTGTTGTTACGTTTGAGCCCATTGTTGCTGGCACTATTATAAATGCACCTTATTGTGGGTCTTCCTTTTTTCACTGACTCTCTACTTTACCAAGGTGATGTCCTTTTATAGGAACTGGTCCCTTGCCATCTTGGCTTCTAAGGAGCATTCTGACTATACTTATTTCAATACATATTTGGTTGTTCTTATGTTAGTCCATGGTATTTTTAATATTTCTTCAACATCATAATTCAAATGCATCAGTTTTTCTCCAGTCTTCCTTATTCATTGTCCAACTTTCATGTGCATTTGAGGCAATTGAAAATACCATGGTTTGGGTTAAGCACACCTTAGTCCTCAAATTGATATATTTGCTCTTTAGCATTTTTAAAGAGGTCCTGTGCAATAGATTTGTCTAATGCAATAGAGCTTTTGATTTCTTTGTTGTTGGCATGAGTGTTGATTGTGGATCCAAGCAAAACGAAGTCTTTGACAACTTCAAACTTTTCTCCATTTATCATGATGTAATTTATTGGTTCATTGGTAAGGATTTTTTTTTTTTTTTTTACATTGAGGTTCAATCCATACTGAAAATCAGAGTGTAGTTAAAAAACAAAACAAAACAAAACAAAAAAACAAGAGAAGTAAAGTAAGAGAGAGAGAGAAAAGAAAGAAGCAGGAGTGGTTGGGAAAGAAAAGCAGGTAAAAATATGAAAACAAAGATAGAAAGGATAAAATGCAAGGGTCAGTAGAGAGAGATAGAAAGAATTAACAAATAAAAACAATGAAAAGGAGAAGACCAGTGCAAGTGACAGACCCAAAGAGGTAAAAATGCTGGGTCTCCTGCCAGTAAATGACATCACATGTTGGATGAGCAAGAGATGAGACAATGGTACTCCTGTCCTAGATGGAGTTTATGTAGGGACTAGATGTTGTTTGTTCTAGGCACCTATCCAGAAATAGTTCAAGCAGACCCCAAAGCAGCTTGGGGATCAGAGTATGTTCATCCCAGAGGGCAGCGGAGGGTGAGAGGACCTGCTAGTCCAGGGATATCTAGTACCAGCTTTGCAGGTCTTCAGCAGGCTTAGCACCTGATTCAAGGTGCTGTGGTTGGTACTACTAATTCCCCACACACTTTCATGCATTTTTGACAACTTGGAGAATAGGAGTTTCACTGGGAGTGTATATTAGTGGGGGCTGGCCACACCTCTGGGCACCAGGGTAATGTGGGGTTGTTGTTGTTAGGTAACATCAATTCAGCTGTAACTCATAGTGATCCTATGAACAACAGAACAAATCATTGCCTGGTTCTGTACCAACCTCACAATTGTTACAGTTGAACCTATTGCTGCTGCCCCTGTGTCAACCCATCTCATTGGTAGTCTTCCTGTTTTTCACTGACCTTCTACTTTACCACGCGTGGTGTCCTTTTCGAGGGACTGGTCCCTCCTGATGATATGTCTGAAACATGAGAAACAAAATCTCCTGATAATATGTCTGAAGCGTGCATTCTGGTTGTACTTCTTGGAACACAAATTTCTTTGTTCTTCGGACAGTCCATGGTAAAAGAAAAAAAAAAAAATATTCCTTTTTCTCCACCAATAAGCTGCATGCCTCTTCACCATCAATCACACTCTTGCCTTCAAAGCCACTCATGAAAGTTTAAACTGGTTGTGTCATACCTGGCCAGCTTGCACAAATCACCTGTTTCCTTTATTAAAATATCCTCCATGAGTGAGAAAGTTATTGGCGTCCCTAGTGGAGTTGGCTGAGCTGTGCAAGCGGCGCGGTGATGGAGGGGTCGGGCAGTCGCCTGCCTAAGGAGCAGCTTGTCGAGTACCAGAGCCCGCAAGCGGTTTTGTGAGCTGCTTCCCCAGGATCATCCAAGTGTGGACAACTCAATGCAGGCACGAGTGCCCTTCCAACAGATCCTCAGTCTTCCAGAGCTCAAGGCCAACCCCTTCAAGGAGCGAATCTGTAGGGTCTTCTCTACATCTCCAACCAGAGACACCCTGAGGTTTGAAGACTTCCTGTACCTCCTCAGTGTGTTTAGCGACACAGCAACTCCAGACATTAAGTCCCATTATGCCTTCCGCATCTTTGACCTTGATGACGATGGAACCTTGAACAGAGAGGACCTGAGCCAGCTTGTGAATTGCCTCACTGGAGAGGGAGAGGACACACAGCTCAGAGCCTCAGAGATGAAGCAGCTCGGTGACAATATCCTGGAAAAGTCCGTCATCGATAGGGATGGGACCATCAGTCTCTCTGAATTCCAGCATGTCATCTCCCGCTCACCGGACTTTGCCAGCTCCTTTAAGATTGTCCTGTAACAGGAGCTACAGTGTGTGGTCCCAGCACCCTGTCCAAGAACCTTTCCACTGCTGCACCATGGCCAAGGTTACACCTGTGTTCCCAGGGCCAGCCAAGTTGGCCCAGCTTGGAGCTGGGACTGCACAGTTTTGCCTCTGGGTAGGGAAGTGCCTGCCGTGTCACGGCCTCTCCCCTTCTCACTGCCATTGTCATTGCTTCGACTGATCAGTAATACAGGTTTAGATGTTTGGGG